CACAGATTTATCAAAATTAAATGGCATGTCCAAGACCACACAACTTAAGAAAGAGTCAATACTGCCATTCAGTTCTGTCTTCTCACACAGTCTTTGCTGTTTCCTTGACTTAGAATATTTTGATTTAATTCAACAAGAATAAATTGAGCACTGAATATGCTGGACTTCCTAATAAACAGTGAGGAGTAACGTGGTTTTGTGAGCAAAGCTCAGAATGTCTAGGAGAGGAACAAGAAAAAACATGATACGAGAAGTAGAGTGAATTAAATACTGCAACAAAACAAAACAAAACACCAAAACCAATACTATGAGAAGTTAAATGAGGAAAAGTTCTCAATTACCTATATGGCTGAGAAGAGCATTTGTCATGTCCTCTTGGATAGAGAAATAGAATAACCTAAGCAAAGTAGAATTTGGTGCTGGGAAGTGTGGGCATGTCAAATAACTCATAGGTGATAAACACATTATTGTCAGTGATAGTGAACTGTGAAAAAAATGTAACATTTTAACTATCAAATACCCTAAATGTATCCTTATTCCTCGTGGTATTTCTGTTTATAGGAGAATGCCAGGAGGTGGGAAGCGCCAAGGCTAAAATAGTTACAGGCGGCTGAGGAGGAAGGGTCTCATTCTGGATAATGGCAGACACAAGACTGGAAGGGAGAAACCAGAACCTGTGCAGGATATCAATGCAGAGAGAAGAGTAAGGAAGGAACTGCATAGCGGAGAGAGATCAAAGTAGAGTATGGAATTATGAGGTTGGGAATCAGAGGGAGGAACCATACAGAGAGTAGATAAGAATCAGAGGAAATGGGGTGAGACTGGAAGGGATCCTGAGTGGTTGCCCTGAGCTTAAGAGATATTCCAATTTTCCTTATCATCTGGATGGAAATGGGTGGGTGTTGTTATCTTCCTAGCACAAGGCAGATTGAGAAGGTATTTGGAACGTGAAAAAGAACTGGTCACATAATGACTTGTACAATGCTAGACCAAAAAAAAAGTGTTGTTTTTCATTAAAAATGCTGCTAAGGAAGTGAGTTCTCAAAAGTAATTTTGGAACCCTATTAAAGGTCTTGTTCATATTTCACTGAAATTCAGGTCAACTCAAGCTGCATAAACTTAACATTTGGAAAGATTTATTTTTAACTTTTTTTTTTTAAGATTTGGAAAGTTTCTGGAGTAATAAGTGTGAAGAGTAAGCAGCATTTTACAAACCTACGTACATGATGTGTATGTGGAGATGTTTGTTTCATCAACAAATATTTCTACAAGTGTTGCTCTGTACCTACAATGAACTGATTTCTTGGCGTAATATAAACACAATCCATAAGATGCAATATGGCTACTGGTTAGTCTTTCAAAAATAGAAAAAAATCCTCCTGATTCCACCTGTTATTTACTCTTAAGCTTTCATTATATGCACTGGATTTAGGTAGTCTAGTATTTTATCACCTTTGGCTCCAAGCCTGCTTGTCTCCATTACACACTAGATTTATTGTCATTCCGAACACAATTTTTTTTTAACTTCAGATCCTTTTCTGAATATATGTGATTGTCCAGATGTTTGCCGAAAGCTTTAATATTTTTTTAAAGTATGTGTGTCTGTGTAATTTGTTTTAGCTACAGTGGGAATAATTTATGTAGGATAAAACTTATAGCATAGGGTTCTGCATGCTGGAACAGATAGAAACTTCTATGACAAAAACAGATTTAATTTCTAGTTACATGATTGATTGCATTTTTCTTGCTATAAGTGAAAACTTAAGAAGAATAATGAGTTGGAGTTTTGTAAATTCTGAAAGTTTACAGCATGCTTCCATGTTCTTCATTTTACTTTCCTTAAAATAACTCAATTTATAGTTGCAAATGTGAAATTCAAAGTTTAATCACTCACTGAAGGTCCCATGGCTAGTAGGTATGGATCCAGAAGCAAAACTGATTTTCTTATTCTAAGTCTAGGACATTTCATTTCTCATTACGCAAAAAGAGAGCAATAGCAACTATATTGTAAATTCTTTGATATCCATCTTCATATTATACTGAAACTATGTAAGTAATGTAAATGTTCCACTTAGAGTGATTATCCAGGTTTGCTCAGTGTTCATAAGCTTTTCTCACCATTTCTAGAAGGTTGTCTGTGCACTTAGCTTCTGACATTTTTTCCACTTGAAATGTTTTGCCCTGCCCAAGTGTTAGTTGACTCATTTCTGAATTCTGACTCTGCATAACCCCTTTGGAATGATGTTAAATGGGATACTTCACTTGACTTTTCATGTCCGATTAGGACCTGGGTGCTCTGTCTGGGGTCCACCTTGCCAGCTAAGAAGTTCGAGTCCCAATCCCTGCCTAATGTATTCCAGGCTCATGTCCCTGCCTTATATCCTGCATTTTTGCTGTTTCAAGAGTAGACTTTAAACAATTGTGAAACTTGTTCATTATTATCAAAACAAAAACGCATTATTAGCAAAACAGAAATAACACTTTTATTTAGTAAATAATGAACTCAAGAAACCTTATTTACTAAACAAAAGTGTTATTTTTTCTAATATATAGAAGACGGTGTAGTAATTATCTTTGGTGAATATGGGTTTTATGACAGCTAGTCTTAAATTGGCAGCTTGGCATGAAATGCAGGTTTGGTTATGCAGTAGAAATCAATGTGTGCCATTGCAAAAAGTATTGAACCAACAGCCAGGAGCTCATGGTCTAGCCCAATGCCTGGATCTCCCTGTAACTTCCTATGACTCTCAGAGCAGTTATGTCAGTATCATGGCTTTAATTACTTTGGTTTTGTTTGGTTTCAGAGAGAGAGAATGAGAGAGGGTGCAGGCATGCACATGCATGTGGAGGGACTAGATGGAGAGAGACTTGTAAGCAGGCTCCGAGCTGGAGCTGGATGTGGGACTCCGTCTCACCACCTGAGATCATCACCTGAGCCCAAATCAAGAGTCTGACACTTTAGGGACTGAGCCCCCCCAGGAGCTATCTTCAGTTACTCCATTAAATAAAATCACCAAACTGAGCCATCACTAAGCAGATTTGAATCTATCTCTAAGTTTTCATGTCTGTGAAGTATATTTCTAAATAAATAAGTTGTGTCAATATATCATGAGATCTGTACACAATTCCATGTCCCATATATTTATTTTCTTATGTTTCATTTATTCATGGAACTTTCAAGAGTCTCTTAGTATCTGGGGCTGACTAGTACTGAGCTAGACCTAGAAACAAAAGCTGTGAAATTATTTTGATTAGTCTGTTTTATACATATATATATATATATATATATATATGTATGTAATATTTACTAACTAGTAAATATATATATATTTACTAGTTATATACTAGTAAATAAATAGTAAAAAATATATAGCTAGTAAAATCTATAGTAAATTTTAGCATTTTCTGTCTTTTAACCCAGTCCTGGAAGAAAACCAGAGCTTCAAATTATCCTATAAATTGAATTGAATCACTTTGTTTCCTCTACATGGCAATGATTAAACTTTGTCCTAAAAGTTATAAAAAATTATAAAAGTCCTGGGGTGCCTGGGTGGCTCAGTGGGTTAAAGCCTCTGCCTTCGGCTCAGGTCATGATCCCAGAATCCTGGGATCAAGCCCCACATCGGGCTCTCTGCTCAGCAGGGAGTCGGCTTCCTCCTCTCTGCCTACCTCTTTGCCTACTTGTGATCTCTGTCTGTTAAATAATTAAAAAAAAAAAAAGTCAAGGGAGTCTCTTAAGCAGTGTCTTTTTATCACTGACGGCCTTCACCAACATCCATCGATGCATCACTGTAGCTGTCTGCAGATGAATCCAGGGGACTAGTCTGTATCTCCTAGCAGGACATGTTTTAACCCAGTGTTAGTCCAGCATATTCTTCAGTAACTTAACTGCAGGTGTAACTGCATTAAACCACTGGGCCCTTACACTTCAAAGGTTACAAGGGAGAGATTTTTCAAGTACATGGCAAAGACAGCAGTGACGATTGTGAATGTGTTTCTCTTATAGGATTCTTATTTACATGTAGTTGAAGAAGATGCTATCACATTTGTTTTTCTTCTGCCTATCTTAGAAGGGAAGGAATTTCTTCATTATGTGAAGTATACTTTGTCCATTTGACATGTTAGAATTTGATTTCATTGTATTGATTATAAAATCTCATTGTAAGTCACTAAACAAGACTTAGGCAGAAAAGGTGATCTTGAGAGGCAGTGACTGTGAAGCATGAAATGTGAGTTCTGGCATTGATGCAGGAATGTGTGTGTGTGTGTGTGTGTGTGTGTGTGTGTGTGTGTAACTTTGAATTCATCAGATAACCATTTAGTTGTCTTACTTATCCAGTGGTGAGGTGGAAGGAATTAAGTTTCCTTCTTGAATTAAAACTCTTATTCTATGTTTTATTGAAGATCACACAATGTAGTAGTAATATTTTTTCTACAGTTATCCCTGGTATGTTGCCTGAATTTTGATTATCAAGTTTAAAAAATTTTACAAAGAGATTAAATGAAAAGTTACTGACATTAAGCAAAAGGGTAATACACCTGTGATTTTATGGAACAAATTTTGACTGCATAATAGATTTGTGTACATATAAGGTAGTCCCTTCAGAAACATCTGCGAGCCTGTGTGTGGTTGTATTTGATTTTGGTTCCCAGGGATACATTGTACATGGTAAGGGCCTCTAAAATGTTCAGTAGTCTATCTCTTAAATTTACAAAATATTTTACTGGGACCAAACCGGGGCACAGCCTTGAATGATGTTAGTCCAATGAGTGATTCAATTCTGTGGCTGTGTTCTGTGAAGTAAAGGTTGTTTAGAAGGGAAATCTTGCTTCTTGATTTTGTGTGATGAAACTTTATAACTGAGTGCCACTAGAAATGATGTGCAATTGCCTTTGGTTTGTTCTTAATACAGGACCTATATTTCAAGTTCATTGCATTAAAAATTTGCAAGTTCACTTTTAAAACCTTTCTCTCTTTTGTATCTTCTTTTCCTCTGCAGGATGTTTTCACTCCAGAATGCAAATTCAAGGAATCTGTATTTGAAAACTACTATGTGATTTATTCTTCCACACTGTACCGTCAGCAAGAATCAGGCCGAGCATGGTTTCTGGGACTCAATAAAGAAGGTCAAATTATGAAGGGAAACAGAGTGAAGAAAACCAAGCCCTCATCACATTTTGTACCAAAACCTATTGAAGGTATGAAATGAACTTCTCTTCTTTTTAGACTCTGATTCCTGTGTGTTGATGCCAGTTTTGCTCCTTGTCCCTTGCTCAGTGGAGTTTACTTAGAATGCAGCAGATTAAAACAAAGTTTCAGAAAACACAGTAGTACCTCTTCCTTAAAAAAAGAAAAAAAAAACTATTATAAATACTTGGCACTTATTAAAACAGTGCTTGAAATAGAAGCTAGAAAATTCCTGCAAGTAGAAAAATAGTGCTAGTTGCCATTTGGAGTGTGATTTCCTTTTCTGTTGAATGCAATCATTTAATTCCTCAAGCTACACTCTTGAAAAGCCAATCATGTTATTATAGTGCTTTACAGTTTGCAAAAAGCCTTTAGAGATATGCTTCTACATCTCTGTGAACAAATCTAACAATATGGGGTATTAATTTTTCTTTGTATTTTCTAAGGAAAGAAAATAGTATACTATTTACTGTGATCAATAAATATTTACAGTATTCAATTTTATTGTTCTCAATCTAGCCTATAACCTCCCCTCTCATGATCATGTTCACTTATTTCAAATTGACCAGTGAAATAAATAATTTTATGCTAAGGAAACCCAGTTTGAGTGACTTGTTCCTTATGGACGATGAGAATATACCATTAGGGTAACCACTTTTGCTATATTCAGTCAAGCTTTTTAACACTGGCTAAGAAAATAGCAATAACCTAGACATTTACTGATAACCTTTGTTTCTGAAAGTCACATTATAATCACTTAAAACATTAGCTCAGCCTCCTTGTCTGTGGAAATGAGGAGATTGAGGCAGCATATTACAGTTCTGTAACATAGCCAGGCTTTCTGTCCCCTAAATATCTATAAGGCATGGTCAGGTCAACTAGTGTAGCAACATAGCGCCTGCTGGACCATACTTATGGCTGTAATAGTGAACAAAGGTTTATTCAGTCAACACTGTGGTAGAAGCAGTGGGGGGAAATGGGACATTTGAAGCTCCTTCTCAAAACTCCCTCTCAAAACTCCCCTCAGACCCTGTGCTTTCAACCCCACAAAGCAGAACTGTGCTGCTTGTAATCTATTTTCACAATCTGGGGGGACGTGTAATTCTTTGGCCCTCCTCTCCCCACAATGTCCATCCACTCACGTGCCTGAAGATGCCTGTGAGTCTTCGTAAAGAATGAATCCAAGAGTCACTCCTTCTGTGGGGGCCTGATTCTCTTCACGTAGAATTAAATGTTCTGTCACTTTATCATTGTATACAATCCTCTCCCCTAGAACTGATCACATTGTATTAAATTTACCTACTTGCCACACTGTCTTCTCTTATCCATAGTTTGATCATTTTTTGAATATGTAGAACAAGTTTTATTTTTTCCCTCATATGCCCTTGTTGCTTGTATAATATCTTATGTATCATAGAGAAATATTTAATAATCTGTTGTCAGTTGAGTGAACACATGAATGAACAAATGAATAGATAAGTATGAAGACAAAGAAGAATTATATATGCTCCAGATAACCTCATAATATTCTTGGAGATATGAGATATGTGTATTAGTGGCAACAGTAAAATGTAAAAAGTGATGTATTACATGTTGCCAGAAAGGATATTGGGATTTAGGGAAAGAGCGATTACCTCCCCCCAATAAAAGATCTTGAAAAGCTAAAACTCATCAAACTGTATACCAAAAGAGTGATTTTTTGTGAATATGAATAAAAATAAACTTATATTTAAAAAAAAAAGATATTGAAAAGCTGATTATTTAAATGTAATTTCAATACTAGGCCAGGTTCAGACCATTAGAGGTGAGAGGTAGAGATCAAGCAGCCCAAAACACTCCAGGTGCAGTGTGAATAAACTATTAAAACTTTTGCATCATTTTTTATGGAACATAATTAACATATTTGTTATACATGTATGTAACATACATGTTATATTCATTTTGGCTGTGCAATACAATGATTCAGTAATTCTAAACATTTCTCAGTCCCATCAGGATAAATGCACTCTTAATACCCTTTATCTATTTCACCCATTCCCCGACCCAACCCCCTCTTGCATCATTTCTATTTGTGCATTTAAATAGGTTTTTGTTGTTGAAACAAAAGTAGCACATGCTCATTAACAATTTTTGGAAAACCCAGGAAAGTGTAAAGGAAAGGAAAAATCCACGTGTGTTACTTGCTTTTTTTATGGAAATGCTTTTCATACTGACAACCCTCCCCCCAAAAGAAAAGAAAAAACACACCTATAACTTACCCTCCTAATCATGACTGCTGTCTGCACCTTGGCTAGTCAGGCTTCTTGAGACTGTATGACCATGTACCCATTTCCAAGGGTAATGGATTCAATGACTACATTCCTAGTCCCAGAGCTGCCTAAATTCTATATGTATTGCTGTATTTCAGTACAAATGTAGGAAGAGACCACTAGACATTCCTAATTGCTTACTTTTTGGCTTAGAATTAGATTTGGCTATGTACAATACAAAACCCATGTTAAGAGCAGCTTAGTCACCAACCAGATCAAGAAACCTGCCATCCACGTCCTCATGCCAGCCAGAGAGAAGAAGAAAGGATGAGAAAGGCAGAGCAAAACCCTGTGCCACTGTTCTCTTCAAGAAGGTCCCCATTACCTGCCATATGATGCTTAGATCTCACTGACTGCAACCCAGTTAGATGGTCTCACGTAGGTGCAGGGAAGCCTAAGCATGTACTACGTCTTCTGGATGGCTACATGCCGAATAAATGTTCAGTTATTCTGATAGAATAGCAGAATGGGACTGGAAGAGTAAGAGCCTCTGCTTCAACGTGCCATCATCTTAACTTTAGAATAGCCCTGATTTCCTATTCTATTCAATTTTCTGATTGATAGTTTTTGGTTCATTATTTTGTTTTTATTTTTTTTTATTTACTGATGTTTTTGGATGGTTTTCCTTTTGTTTTGGGTGGGGGGGGGAAGAGTCCATTCTAAATCAGATTCGTGAATACTTGGATTTGTATCCAAGGCCCTTTGTCTCTTTAGATCGTTGGAATGAAAGCTTAGGTGTTGGACTATATGGAATATGATAAGAATCACTTCCAAAAATAAAAACTAGTTTGCAGTTGTTTCAGAACAAAATCCTTTAATTCCCTAGAAATGTCTTTGCCTTTTGTCTTAGAGAGCAAGGTTCATTTTTTTGAACAAATTAGCTAACAGTTCTATAAATGCTTACTCTGTGCAGGTATTGTGCTAAACATGTCTCAGTTATCCCCTTTTATTTTTCATTCCATTTCTGTGAAGTGGATTCTAATATTATCCCCATTTGACAAACGTGGAAAATGAAGCTCAGAGACATTGAGTAATTTGTACCATATCAAGCAGCTTATAAGTGGCAGAGGCAGAATCCAAGCCAAGGCATTCTGACTCAAGCAAGCACGTGCTTAATCTCTGTGAAGACAAGTGAAATTGCTTACAGTCTGAAGTCTGAAATGTAACCTCAACATAGCATAAGACCCTAGCAAATACTTTTGAATAAATGTCTCCTATATGCTTCTCTTCTTTTTAAATCTACAGTATACTTCCTTGCTCCTTAGAAATAAAAGCCTTTGCAGACACATGGAGACCTTCATGTTCTTATATTATAACAGACCCATGAAATTCCTCAGTTCTCCCACATCTTTTTACTTTGATATCATTATTATAATGCAAAAATATGAAAAAATTCCTGGTGATTTTCCATGCAGCTATGCTTTATGTTATCAAATGATGTAATTTTATAATTACCATTAATATCAAAGATACGTGAACTTGAGGTTTTGTTAGGCATTATTCTACTATGCAGTGAGGATTTCTCTCTCCTCACTGGGACCCCCAAACTATTTGTGCTACCACTTCTATTACTACTATTACTAACCTTACTGCACCTATATACAGTTCACCATTTACTAGGCAGAGTACATATGTCACCTTCATTAAAGTTCACAACAGCCTTATGTTATTACCCTTCATCGTGTAGATGAAGAGACCAATATTTAAAGTAATTAAGTATAAGTAAGTATGCCCTGGCCAATCACGGGGCTAGATAAATACAGAACTGGGATTGCAGTCTAGGAAGCCTACTGCTGGAGCCTATACACCTACCCCCTACACTATATTGCCCTTTAATATGCAGTAAGTCTGTGGATATGCTAATAATTAGAAATGTAAGTGAAGCAGAAGTGCTTCACCTACAGCAGAAGTGTTATATCATGAAACAACTTGAGTAGAAGCTAGCTCTAAACCATTCAAAATGGAGATAGGTATATGTGATATGACAAGATAAATTCGTAGTGGTAGATAATCAGATAAGATACTTATGGGAATGCCATGTTAAAACTAGGGGACAAAGGGTTAAGAATACATCGCTTCTTTTTTGATGAATGTTACAGGCTTCATTTCCTACTCTGCAAAAGAAAGAATTAGAGATGATTCCTAAAGTTCTTTGACAATGACATTCTGTGCATTCTTTATAAGCACTTTATTGTAAAACCATGTTTCTTCATGGAGCCTAGCTTAGGATTTATAAATAAAATGTTTCTAAACACATTTCCTTTATTAAATTATTGAATGAATAAAGTACAGTTTTATGAGCTATTCCCATAATGGGTGATTTGTAACTTTTTTTTTAGAAGGAGTAGGATGAAAGACATTCTAGCCATAATTCATTGTAAACAAATATTTCGGAAATATTTTTTTCCATAGGACAATTAAAGCACATAACTAGAAGACACTTTCAGAAAAGAAAGAAAATGACAGCTTTATAAGAGGTTGGCCATATTGCTGGTTAACTGGAAAAGCTGTCAGTTATTTTTAGTTTTTATTTACTTTAAAATTTTTTTTAAAGATTTTATTTATCTATTGACAGAGAGAAAGATAACAAGAGAGGGAACACAAGCAGGGGGAGTGGGAGAGAGAGAAGCAGACTTCCTGCCAAGTAGAGAACCCAATGTGGGGCTCAATCCCAGGACCTTGGGATCATGACCTGAACCCTA